AAGTGATCGATGAAGCAGAAAATCAACACATGAGACATACCCCCATAAACACTAAAGTATGAAAAGAGATTCTTTTGTCGAGCGAATCCTACGTAATGATTCGTAAGGGTAGTGATGCGGCAGAGCCTTCGAGTCAAAGTCGACCTTTGATGCACACATCCTGCATGTCACCGCACAATAAGATGATAAGAACAGTTAAGGTGTGAATATTTTGATCAGTTATCGAACCTTTGAATTATTCAGTTGCAGTCGCACAAAACTCTTGCAGAAATTCTGCATTAGTTTTACTGCAAGAAATTCACTGTGATCGCGCAGCAATGCCACAGAGTGAGTGAGTAGGTTAATCAGATAATCCACTGTAAGTTAAGACTGAGATGTAGTGATCTAAACGGTCACAAATTTGAAAGATTTATTAGCGATAATCCTGAATGTTCATGTGTTTTTTTCAATGAAAGCGCTTTACACTACCTATATACTTGCCCAAATTATACTGAGATTAGATCTGAAAGCTATCATTAAGTTAATGGATATGACCTTCGAACCGTCCTTTTTGGTAATGTCACCTAGACAAAGACATTTTGCTGAATATCGTTGACTCTGTACATCATTTCTTCTCTATGAGCAAAAGATTTGTCTAAACATGCACTCTTATATATATCTCGCTAACAACTGTTTACCTTTGATTTTCCACATATAACTGAAGTCTATACTACTGTATAATTATACCACTGCTGCTTGTTTGAATTTTGTTGGGGAGAGATATTTAGATAGGCTCTGCCTGTTTATCAATCCCCTTTCACTGTACCAGGGGGAAATAAATATTGTTTTTAAAAAAAAAGAGTGAGTAGGTTGGGTTTACGTCGTACATGAACAGTATTTCATGTTTATCAAACCAGCCTGGCTTCCACAGCTGATATGGCTTGGGTGAGATGAAGGAGATACCGCGACAATGAATTTGCATCACAATACTTTTTCAGACCATTTTGACGTCCTCGGATACCATCACGTCACAATCAAATTGCATTTTAATAAGACATTGATTATAAGTGTTTATAAAATGAGTAAAGATGGAAAATTATCTTTAAAGATAAATAGAATCTGGAATTTTCTATATATCACATTACTGAAGCTTAGTGTGGGAGGTAAGGGTTTGCCAACTAGCGCAGCAGGTACTGACAAACTAAAACTCATAATGAATGCAAGGCTTTGATTCGTAACACGATTTTTCGGATTCTGGCACGAATAAGGAGTGGCAATCTACACAGCGATATTCAGCACGTGACTGACCACCCATAACTCAGAACCTCCCCAACACGACTGTACTCTTTACGGAGACTTAGATCTCTTTGGTATCTACAGGTTGGTTACTGAAATAAAAATGAAAATACGATATGTGATATACATGCATGACATATATATATTATATATATATTATTATATATATCATATATATATATATATATATATATATATATATATATATATATATATATATATATATATATGCGAAAATTGCGAGTGACCTTTGCTCGCATTATTTAACATTTCGCATATATTTCTCCAAAATGACTGCCATCAATAAGACTGACAAGGCCTCACTTCACACTTTGGATAGCGGAAATACCAACTTGAATATTACACAATAGGCATCTGCTAATTTACACTCCCGGGGTCAAGAGTTCTACCCACTTGTGTCAAACCAGGCATCATTGAACACTCATGTGGTCAGACGCCACCCACGCAAAACTTTGTCAAAGGCTGACACGACCCTCCGAGCACCGACAGGCTTCATCACACTCCTCAGATCTAAATCTTTGTCTTGTCATCTGCCTTCAAGTTTATTGACACCTTCTCCGCATACCGATCAGTGAACTGTTGTTGGTTCAATTATTTTTCTGCATTTGAACTTCCTTAATGCCACTCAACAGAATAATCATACAAACTGTGTATTGTTATAAGGAAACCACAGTTTAGTATTTTATCGGAGGTGCTCTACTCAGAAATATATAAAAAGTATATTATATATGCATGACATTTGTTAGACATATCTGTATTACATGACTTGCACATTATTATTATCATTAAATGATTAAAATACAACATTCAGCAAAGAGGGTTCGGGTGATCCTGGCACAGTCAGGCTGGTTAGGCTCATCGTCAGCTCAGGGCCCTTGCCCCCTCTACACGCAGCCCAGACAGCGAATGGGACTTCTCCCTAGAATCGCTGCCAACTCAAACCCACCGAGAACCTTTTGGAGAATGTGAAGACTCCACAACACTGCAGCCATCTGCATTACCCAGATTGTCAGAAGGGCTGAATTGTATATGATGTATAAAGAATATAAAACACTGTTTGAACCTGAAAGATATTTGAGCATTAACAATGGCAAACATGTACGCAGTGTTTTTATTAAATTAAGATGTAACGTTTACCTTTACGACAGAACGAGGGTAGATGGCAATCTATTGAATCATGTTTACGTATGTGTCCTGTTTGCAATATGTCTGTTGAAGATGAATATGATTTCGTATTGATCTGTAAACACTATACTGAGCTGCGTAAAGTTTATTTGCCAGAATTGTATTGGAAGTTTCCAACTATATATAAATTCAAAAAAATATTGTGTACAACTCAGGATGAGCTATTAAAACGTCTGCAATATTATGTATATTATGCGTATAAACAAAGACATGAAGTCGTAAAATCTATGTAATGTGCTTCACATTGTATTGTTGTCACTGCATTTTCTTGTATATGGGCCAAAGGCCTACACACAAATAAACTAACTTTGACTTTGACTATTCCTTGCAACAAACCCAGGTACTCTCCCAATGTCAGTCAACAGATTGGGAGGTACCAAACTTAAGGCACCGAGAACAATAGGTAGTCGGACAACTATGTACTTGGGATGCAGGGGAGCCATTTTTCGAAAGCGAGGTCTGCATATTTGCATTTTTTGCTGAATCTTGTCAATAACATTAGTGTCAAAAGGGACTGAAAATTCAATGATATGTATGATTTGGATTTATCAAACATGCCAAGATCAGTTTTTTTGGCCTGGGTAGGTCAGAGTCTGTATACGGGCCTATATTTGTATTTATCATTTTCCATGACAGAGAATACGTTTATATCAATGATTTCATTGGATTTAGGAAAAAGGACAAGATCAGGTTTGTTGGCCTGGATAGGCCTGAGGTTGTATACGAGCCTATTCCAAAGGGGATGGGGCTCTGAGTCAATACCACAAGCATGTCAAAGACACAGGCCTTTGTGTCGATGCATACATATTTCCAGATCAGTCAATATCATTAATTTATCTGGGAATATGAAAGCAACGACACAGCAGCCCATGGGCGAAGACGGTAATAAAAGGATCGAGCCATGCCATCATGTCGCTTACGACACTGTGTTTGTGCTAAAGCTGGACATCCACTGACAAGGTTTCGGACAGCCTAATTAAATTCATTACATAATGTACATTTCATAATTTTGTATTTTCATTTTGATGCAAAAGCATACATTGACGGTTTCGAGTGGGAGGTGACTGGTCCTGAGCAGCAAACAGAAAGCCTGTTTCACTTTTCAGACCAGTCGTCTTCATCAAACTATAATTCTCAACTTCCTGGGGGTATACAACCCAACTGGGATACGATGACATGCATCAACCCCTGACGTCAGCAAGCCTGACCCCCGATCCCGTTAGTCGCCTCTTACGACAAGCATGGGTTGTAGAAGGCCAATTCTAACCCGGATCTTCAAGTATAATAACGATTTACGACCTCTATTAATTATACGTACATATGACGTGTACGCATAGCATGTTTGGTGAATTAGAATAAAGCTTACTTGAACAGTTTTGTAAAATACAAAAGAAAACGAGAAACATTTTATTTGAAAACACATTAAAATACTCACATTAAAAGTAAAGGAAATATATAACGTAAACGGCAGAGACAATTCAGGGTAAAGATACTTCAGAATGTTTAATTTTGCTGAACACTTAATTTAATTTGAATTTCACATTAAGAATGGGATACACTTTCAGCTGCTGTTCGTGGCGGTGCGCCACAAAAAGATTTTATTGTTTTTCTTATATGAGATAAGAAAAAAGAAAAAATCGTTTACTTTCGTAAAACTCGCAGGGTTAAATGAGAAACTCTGAACACAATAAATAGAATCCGACCATGACATTATAGTATCTTGATTTGTATTATTATTTGTCCACCATCAGTATCTATTTGGTTTGGGATAACGTTTGCCTCCCTGTTCAGCTTCTAGACGAAGTGGATCACCTTAGCGCAAAGATGGCCTTGTGGAACGGGGCCCAGATGCCCTAAAGTCATACCATAACTCCCTTGCAGGTGGATGTCACAAAGGTCGTGATGCCACAATAGTTGCACTGATTCAGTAGTACTTCTGGCCTCGTCTTTATCAAGGTGTTGAAGGCTACATCAGATCTTGGGACCGCCTCCGTGGTCTAGTGGTAGAGCGTCCGCCCGGGGAGCGAAAGGTTCGGGGTTCGTTTCCCGGCCGCGCCATAGATGGTACGTGTTGTTACCCTGTCTTGTGCTCGGCATAAGGGGGCTATAACAAGGACTGGTCGGCTTGGAGACAGTATACTGTGTCTGTTGACCAACACTCTTGCTTCCACAACCACTCTCGTTGTAGGAGACATGTGGCAGGTGAAATGCATCTTCTAAGCAAAACTTGCACTTTTCTCTTAGTCTGAAAGTTATATCCCACGTGAATAGTCTTTACACAGACTATTGACTACAATCGACCAGCCCTCGGGACCAGCAGCTGTTAAAACCGCGGCGTCTTTCCCCAAGCTATCAGATGCCTCCATAGCTCACTGGTTAGAGCACTGGTCTTGTAAACCAGGGGTCGTGAGTTCGATCCTCACTGGGGGCTAGATATCTTTTGCCGGATTTTTCGCACTTTTGCAGTTGAGCTGATAAAACCTCTTATTGGAGCACCACGAGGAAGTGCTGTGGAAGCAGCCTTCGGAGCTCAGTGGTTATAGAGCACTGGTCTCGTAAACCAGGGGTCGTGAGTTCGATCCTCACCGGGGGCTATGTTATAGCTTTATTTTGAAAATCCAATCGTTTTTTTCCTATTGAAGTGAACGCAGTTTCAACTTTGAAGCCAATCATTTGTCACATGATCGGGAACAATTGAGTGATCAAGACAGTGACATTGACGACAAAACCCATGAGTTGCGCGTGCCCTTTGATATCCAAGCGCAGGCATCCTTTTAAATCTTAAATCGACACTCAAGCCTTCATATTTCCGATGCCTTTGCCTTGACTCGGCTCAGCAAGTGTCGTTTAACACATATTTTAAAGTGTACAAAATGTATCTGTTCACTTTCCATTTAAATAAGACACCCGTTGTAATAGCACTGGTTGAAGGTGTGTTTGAGATGTGTCATTTTAGTTCGTTTTGCAGGAGTTGTGCTTCTGAGTATAGTTGTCGAGAGTGAACATAAGGATTAATAAGTCACCACCCATGGCTAACTGCCTCCATAGCTCAGTGGATAGAGCACTGGTCTTGTAAACCAGGGGTCGTGAGTTCGATCCTCACTGGGGGCTAGATATCCTTTGCCGGAATTTTAGCCTCTTGCAGTTGAATTGATAAAACCTCTTATTGGAGCACCACGAGGAAATGCTGTGGAAGCAGCCTCCATAGCTCAGTGGATAGTGCACTGGTCTTGTAAACCAGGGGTCGTGAGTTCGATCTTCACTGGGGGCTCATTCTTCTTTTACAGTTTTTTTTATCACCCAGGAGTCAGTAAACGATTGTTGTCACGCGGATACTATATTTCTCCTTAGAGGCAAATAAACCAACCGGTACTCGTTTTAGCTGCATCAACATGTGAGAATGGTCAGCTTACAACCAAATTCTATATTTCATAAGAGGTAAAGAAGAGAGTGAGATAAAATACCCGAACCCCCTATTGAACTAATTAATGTTTGTCTTCACCTGCCTTCTGTTTTCAATTCATCATGTAAAATGTTCATTAGTTTCCATATCAGAATGTATTTGACTGCTTGAAACGTGGCTGACTGATTTGCAGTGAAAATGTCCTCACCGGGGGCTATGTTATAGCTTTATTTTGAAAATCCAATCGTTTTTTCCTATTGAATTGAACGCAGTCTCAACTTTGAAGCCAATCATTTGTCACATGATCGGGAACAATTGAGTGATCAAGACAGTGACATTGACGACAAAACCAATGAGTTGCGCGTGCCCTTTGATATCCAAGCGCAGGCCTCCTTTTAAATCTTAAATCGACACCCAAGCCTTCAAATTTCCGATGCCTTTGCCTTGACTCGGCTCAGCAAGTGTCGTTTAACACATATTTTAAAGTGTACAAAATGTATCTGTTCACTTTCCATTTAAATAAGACACCCGTTGCAATAGCACTGGTTGAAGGTGTGTTTGAGATGTGTCATTTTAGTTCCTTTTGCAGGAGTTGTGCTTCTGAGTATAGTTGTCGAGAGTGAACATAAGGATTAATAAGTCACCACCCATGGCTAACTGCCTCCATAGCTCAGTGGATAGAGCACTGGTCTTGTAAACCAGGGGTCGTGAGTTCGATCCTCACTGGGGGCTCATTCTTCTTTTACAGTTTTTTTTATCACCCAGGAGTCAGTAAACGATTGCTGTCACGTGGATACTATATTTCTCCTTAGAGGCAAATAAACCAACCGGCACTCGTTTTAGCTGCATCAACATGTGAGAATGGTCAGCTTACAACCAAATTCTATATTTCTTAAGAGGTAAAGAAGAGAGTGAGATAAAATACCCGAACCCCCTATTGACCTAATTAATGTTTGTCTTCACCTGCCTTCTGTTTTCAATTCATCATGTAAAATGTTTATTTGTTTCCATATCAGAATGTATTTGACTGCTTGAAACGTGGCTGACTGACTTGCAGTGAAAATGTTGGCCTGTCTATCAGCTGCCCAGGTGGCACAATTGGTTAGCGCGCCGTACTTATAGTCAGTACCTTCCCCATGATCACCATGGGATGAGGAATGCGGAGGTTGTGAGTTCGAGCCTCACCCGTGGCATACTTGCTTTTATTTACTGCTCTGACAGTTTGACCAACACTGTCGCTTCCAATTCACAACCACTCATTATAGCAGACATGTGGCAGGTGAAATGCATCTTCTAAGCAAAACTTACACATTTTCCTTAGTCTGAAAGTTATAAAACCCAACGTGAATGGTGTTTACACAGACTATTGACTACAATCGACCAGCTCTCGCGACCAGCAGCTGTTAAAACCGCGGCGCCTTTCCCCAAGCTATCAGTTGCCTCCATAGCTCAGTGGATAGAGCACTGGTCTTGTAAACCAGGGGTCGTGAGTTCGATCCTCACTGGGGGCTAGATATCCTTTGCCGGAATTTTAGCCTTTTGCAGTTGAATTGATAAAACCTCTTATTGGAGCACCACGAGGAAGTGCTGTGGAAGCAGCCTCCGTAGCTCAGTGGTAAGAGCACTGGTCTCGTAAACCAGGGGTCGTGAGTTCGATCCTCACCGGGGGCTATGTTATAGCTTTATTTTGAAAATCCAATCGTTTTTTTCCTATTGAAGTGAACGCAGTCTCAACTTTGAAGCCAATCATTTGTCACATGATCGGGAACAATTGAGTGATCAAGACAGTGACATTGACGACAGAACCAATGAGTTGCGCGTGCCCTTTGTGTCCAAGCGCAGGCCTCCTTTTAAATCTTAAATCGACACCCAAGCCTTCAAATTTCCGATGCCTTTGCCTTGACTCGGCTCAGCAAGTGTCGTTTAACACATATTTTAAAGTGTACAAAACGTATCTGTTCACTTTCCATTTAAATAAGACACCCGTTGTAATAGCACTGGTTGAAGGTGTGTTTGAGATGTGTCATTTTAGTTCCTTTTGCAGGAGTTGTGCTTCTGAGTATAGTTGTCGAGAGTGAACATAAGGATTAATAAGTCACCATCAATGGCTAACTGCCTCCATAGCTCAGTGGATAGAGCACTGGTCTTGTAAACCAGGGGTCGTGAGTTCGATCCTCACTGGGGGCTCATTCTTCTTTTACAGTTTTTTTTATCACCCAGGAGTCAGTAAACGATTGCTGTCACGCGGATACTATATTTCTCCTTAGAGGCAAATAAACCAACCGGCACTCGTTTTAGCTGCATCAACATGTGAGAATGGTCAGCTTACAACCAAATTCTATATTTCTTAAGAGGTAAAGAAGAGAGTGAGATAAAATACCCGAACCCCCTATTGACCTAATTAATGTTTGTCTTCACCTGCCTTCTGTTTACAATTCATCATGTAAAATGTTTATTTGTTTCCATATCAGAATGTATTTGACTGCTTGAAACGTGGCTGACTGACTTGCAGTGAAAATGTTGGCCTGTCTATCAGCTGCCCAGGTGGCACAATCGGTTAGCGCGCCGTACTTATAGTCAGTACCTTCCCCATGATCACCATGGGATGAGGAATGCGGAGGTTGTGAGTTCGAGCATCACCCGGGGCATGCTTGCTTTTATTTACTGCTCTGACAGTTTGACCAACACTGTCGCTTCCAATTCACAACCACTCATTATAGCAGACATGTGGCAGGTGAAATGCATCTTCTAAGCAAAACTTACACATTTTCCTTAGTCTGAAAGTTATAATACCCAACGTGAATGGTGTTTACACAGACTATTGACTACAATCGACCAGCTCTCGCGACCAGCAGCTGTTAAAACCGCGGCGCCTTTCCCCAAGCTATCAGATGCCTCCATAGCTCAGTGGATAGAGCACTGGTCTTGTAAACCAGGGGTCGTGAGTTCGATCCTCAATGGGGGCTAGATATCCTTTGCCGGAATTTTAGCCTTTTGCAGTTGAATTGATAAAACCTCTTATTGGAGCACCACGAGGAAGTGCTGTGGAAGCAGCCTCCGTAGCTCAGTGGTAAGAGCACTGGTCTCGTAAACCAGGGGTCGTGAGTTCGATCCTCACCGGGGGCTATGTTATAGCTTTATTTTGAAAATCCAATCGTTTTTTTCCTATTGAAGTGAACGCAGTCTCAACTTTGAAGCCAATCATTTGTCACATGATCGGGAACAATTGAGTGATCAAGACAGTGACATTGACGACAGAACCAATGAGTTGCGCGTGCCCTTTGTGTCCAAGCGCAGGCCTCCTTTTAAATCTTAAATCGACACCCAAGCCTTCAAATTTCCGATGCCTTTGCCTTGACTCGGCTCAGCAAGTGTCGTTTAACACATATTTTAAAGTGTACAAAATGTATCTGTTCACTCTCCATTTAAATAAGACACCCGTTGTAATAGCACTGGTTGAAGGTGTGTTTGAGATGTGTCATTTTAGTTCCTTTTGCAGGAGTTGTGCTTCTGAGTATAGTTGTCGAGAGTGAACATAAGGATTAATAAGTCACCATCGATGGCTAACTGCCTCCATAGCTCAGTGGATAGAGCACTGGTCTTGTAAACCAGGGGTCGTGAGTTCGATCCTCACTGGGGGCTCATTCTTCTTTTACAGTTTTTTTTATCACCCAGGAGTCAGTAAACGATTGCTGTCACGCGGATACTATATTTCTCCTTAGAGGCAAATAAACCAACCGGCACTCGTTTTAGCTGCATCAACATGTGAGAATGGTCAGCTTACAACCAAATTCTATATTTCTTAAGAGGTAAAGAAGAGAGTGAGATAAAATACCCGAACCCCCTATTGACCTAATTAATGTTTGTCTTCACCTGCCTTCTGTTTACAATTCATCATGTAAAATGTTTATTTGTTTCCATATCAGAATGTATTTGACTGCTTGAAACGTGGCTGACTGACTTGCAGTGAAAATGTTGGCCTGTCTATCAGCTGCCCCGGTGGCACAATCGGTTAGCGCGCCGTACTTATAGTCAGTACCTTCCCCATGATCACCATGGGATGAGGAATGCGGAGGTTGTGAGTTCGAGCATCACCCGGGGCATGCTTGCTTTTATTTACTGCTCTGACAGTTTGACCAACACTGTCGCTTCCAATTCACAACCACTCATTATAGCAGACATGTGGCAGGT